AATAGAGATCAATGGAACTCAGAAACAGATCCACACAAGGATATCCAATTAATTCTGCACTCCCCCATTTTTGCCTTAAGGAACAAAAGCACTTTTTGCCTTAAGGAACAAAAGCAGTACAGTGGAGGGGGGGGTAACCTTTTCAATAAATAGCGCTGGAGTAAATCAGACAACCATAGGCAATCAAGGAACCTCAACCTAAACCTCTCACCTTATACAAAAATAAAAACAAACTCAAAATGGATCATGGACTTAAATGTAAAACAGTAAAACTTCCAGAAAAAAAATGAGAAAATCTTTAGGACCTAGCACTGAGCAGAATTCTTAGACAACACCAAAAACCTGATCCATAAAATTTAAAAAAAAAAAAAAAAAAGATAATTTGAGCCTTATCAAAATAAAAAAACTTACGCCGGGTGTGGTGGCTCATGCCTGTAATCCCAGCACTTTGGGAGGCCAAGGCAGGAGGATCACTTTAGCCCAGGAGTTTGAGACCAGCCTGGCCAACATGGCGAAACCCTGTCTCTACTAAAAATACAAAAACTAGCTGGAAGGGTTGTGCGTACCTGTAATCCCAGCTTCATGGGAGGTTGAGGCATGAGAATCGCTTGAACCTGGGAGGCAGAAGTTGCAGTGAGCCGAGATGGCACCACTGCACTCCAGCCTGGGCAACAGAGCAAGACTTCGTTTCAAAAAATAAATAACTAAATGCATAAAAATAAAAAATAAAATAAAAAACTTTCGTTCTGTGAAAGACCCTGTAAAAAAGACAAACTAAAGGCTGGGAGGAAACATTTGCAAATCGCGTATCTGACAAAGGACTTGTATTTAGAACGTCCAAAGAACTCTCAGACACTGAACACCATTGCATCCAATTAGAAGACGCACAAAAGACACGCACAGGCACTTCACTGAAGAGGATACAGGACTGGCAAATAAGGCGTGAAAAGGTGTTCAACATCCTTAGCCATTAGGAACATGCAAATTAAAATCACAGTGAGATATCACTGCACACCTATCAAAATAGCTAAAATGAGAAACAGTGACAACGCCAAATGTGAGGATGTGGAGACCCGGATCACTCACGCTCTGCTGGTGGGAATGTAAAATGATACAGACACTCTGGAAAACAGTTTGGCAGTTCCTTTTCAAACTAAAAATGGACTTACCATACGGTAAGCAATTGTACTCCTGGGCATTTATCCCAGAGAAATGAAAACTTATTTTCATGCAGAAACCTGTATGCCTGAATGTACATGTTCACCACATGAATATTTATAATAGCCAAAACTCGGAAACTACCCAAATGTCTTTCTTTTTAAATTTTTTAAAAAATATATTTTTAATATTTAAAAAAACTTCATTTCAGCCCAGGAGCATAGATTCAAAGTGCCCTGAATATGCACTCCCCCAAATGTCTTTTGATGGGTGAGTGGTTACACTGTGGTATATCCAGACCACGGAATAAACAGCACAATGAATGAACCAGAGACTCGCGATAACGTGGATGAACCTTAAGGATATTCTGCTGAGTGAAAAAGACAACCTCTGAAGCATACGTGCATCCAATTTCTTTTATCCAACATTCATCATGAAATAACAACAATTAAAGAAGACAGGCTGGGTGCGGTGGCTCACGCCTGTAATCCTAGCACTTTGGGACGTCCAGCTGGGAGGATGGCTTGAGGCAAGGACTTCAAGACCAGTCTCAGCAACCCAGTGAGACCTTGTCTCTATGAAAGAAAAGAAAAATTGGCTGGGTGTGGTGGTGCATGCCTGCAGTCCTAGCTACTTCCAAGGCTGAGATGGGAGGACTGCTTGTACCCAGGAGAGTGAGGCTTCAGTGAGCTATGATCGTGCCATTGCACTCCAGCCTGGCTGACAGAGTGAGACTGTGTGTCCAAAAAAAAAAAAAAAGAGCCTCAGAACAGATGAATGGTGAATGCCAGGGGTTAGGCATAGGGGGAGGAGATGGGTGTGGCTATAAAAGGATAGCATGAGGCACCCTGTGATGGTTACACAAGACTTCACATGTGATAAAATTGCGCAGAGCTATAGACACACACACACACAAATGAGTGCATGCATAACTGGTGAATTCCGAATAAGCTGCAGGCCTGTACCCATGTCAACCTCCTGCTTTGATATTGCGTTATAACCATACAAGATGTTAACAATAGGGGAGGCTGCGTGAAGGGTTCAGGCTCACAAGACTTTCTCCCTGTATGTTTTTTTTTTTTGAGATGGAGTTTTTGCTCTTGTTGCCCAGGCTAGAGTGCAGTGGCACAATCTTGGCTCACTGCAACCTCCACCTAGCTGGTTCAAGCGATTCTCTCACCTCAGTTTCCTGAGTAGCTGGGATTACAGGCGCGTGCCACCACACCCAGCTAATTTTTTTGTATTTTTAGTAGACATGGGGTTTCATCATGTTGGCCAGGCTGGTCTCGAACTCCTGACCTCAGATGATCCACCCGTCTTGGCCTCCCAAAGTACAGGGATTACAGGCATGAGCCACTGTGCCCGGCCACTTGTGTGTCTTTTTTTGGCAACTTCCTGTGACTCAATAATTATTACAAAATAAAAAGTTAACAGAAAATATAAAGGGAGATACCAAGATTTTAGGGGGAAAAAAAAAAACAAAAACAAAACAGTTCCCAAGAGCTTTTGGTAACACCACTGCCAGCACCTTTGTTACTGGCAAGTTGCACTAACTGCCATTACCAACCTCAGCCCCTGCTGTCGTCTGGGTGCCCCCACACCCCGTGTCCCACACATACCAGATTCCTCTCTGATTCTCCCATGTTAATCTTGCTTGTTCATGTCTGTGGCCTTTGCTCTGTTTGGAATGACTTTTTCTCTCCTCTCTGTGGCAAACTCCTATTGGTCCCTCAAAATTTTGTTCAGATGTCACCTCCTCCAGGCAGCCAGCCTAGACCTCCAGGGCTGGGCTGTGTTCCCTCTTCCTCTATTAGAGTGCTCATCAGAGTGCACGTGGTTTTTACCATCCTCTCCATCACGATCAGCAAGTGCTGACTACAGAACCCTCTCGTAACTGAGTATCTCAGATACTCCTCCTGGCATGCCAGAAAACTCTTGAGACCTTTGCTGAATGAAAGCTGAACGGTGGCCACTAGAAGAAGAAACAGTGGGTATGTCTCCCCAGTTGAACAAGAGGCTTAGAATCTAACAATGGATGAGTGTGGCGACTCTCAGAGAATGGTCCCTGGTGCAGCACCCCGAACCTACCAGGTCAGAAATTCGGGGCTCAGGCCCAGTAATCTGTATTTTAACAAGTCCTCCTCTGGATGATTCCAATGCCTGCTAAAGACTGAGAACTACTGGTTTGAGTGGCCTGATTCCTTGTCTTAAGGTAGGTGGTTTCATTTTTAACAAACCCGCTCACTCTATCCTTTCATCCAATATATACCAAAGATCAGCCATGTGTCGAACTCTGTACTGTGTGATGGGAGGTCTTGAACAGCACGCTTAAGCTCTCTTTCTCGCTCTCTTACAGGTGCATACACATGCACGTACGCAAGCACGCACACTCTTAGCTGGCTAATAAAGATGGAGAGTGCTCAAGGCCATGGTCAGGAAATACACAGGGAATTGGGGGGCAGCGCCTTGCCTCAAGAGGGAGCTTCAGAGAAGCGTTCTGGAGAGGGACACAGAAGCTCGAGTTGGTAGGACAGGGGGAGTGTGGGTGAGGAGTGTGAAGCACATTCAGGCCAAGGAAGGAATACCATTAAGGCTCTGAAATGCAGAGAGTCCCCCTAGGAAGCTGGGAGTGGCTGGTGTGGCTGACGTGTGGCACTGCACAAGACTCGCAGGGTGCCAGGCGCCTTGGTGGCCACAGGGAGGGGCCAAAGCTGTGTCCGGAGGGCTCTGGGAGTGGTGAGAGGGTTTGGAGCAGGGGACAGGCATGTTCAGATATAGAAGGATCTGGCCGGGCGCGGGGGCTCACACTTGTAATCCCAGCACTTTGCGAAGCTGAGGCGGGCGGATCACTTGAGGTCAGGAGTTTGAGACCAGTCTGGCCAACATGGTGAAACTCCGTCTCTATAAAAATACAAAAATTAGCTGGGTGTGGTGGCGGGAGCCTGTAGTCTCAGCTACTCAGGGGGCTGAGGCAGGAGAATCACTTGAACCTGGGAGGCAGAGGTTGCAGTCAGCCAAGATCATGCCACTGTACTCTAGCCTGGGCAACAGAGCGGTCTCAAAAAAAAAAAAAGACACAGAAAGATCTCTCTGGCTGTTAAGTGGAGGGTAGACCAGAGGAGGTGAGATGAAGGCTGGAAGCCCACTGTGGTGGCCTGGGCAAGAAAGCAGGGAAAGGAGGTGGGATGGGTGACAGAGATGCTCAGGAGGAGGACCACTGCAGGGAGGAGGAGGAAGGGGACATTCACAGGATGAGGCCCACGGCTCAGGCCCAAGGACTGGGATTGATGTGGCTGCCCCAGGGACCTGGGGGCGGAGGAAGAACAGAGGGCACGAGGGCTGAAGGCAGCTGGGGAATAAGCTCAGCCGGAGCCAGAACCTGAAGGGCCTTGAATGCCAAGTTTATCCTGAGGACACTGGGGAGTCATGGAGGGTTTGGGGAGATCTCTCAGGCTGCCAGGTTGCAGATGGACGCAAGCGGGCAGAACTGAAGCCTGAAAGATCTCGAAAACTGGGTAATGCTGGCAGCCGGGTCCTAGGGACTCAGGGCTGGAGAGAGTTAGATGCGTGGCCGTGCTGGATGGTGGACGCTCTTCCTTGACAGGTGAACCACATTTGTGCTGCAAGGAAAGCCAACGATGGGTCCTGCCCAGCCCGGCCCAGTTTCGCTCCAAAACATGAGACATAACCACCCCATGGGGCTGGGTCCTCTGAGGACCTTCAGGGGTCCAGAAACACCATAAAATGGCAAATAGAATTGTGGGGGTGTGCATTTCCTGGGGAAGAAGGAGCCACAGTTTTCATCAGATCCTTTAACATGAAAAGAATGGAGAGAGGCTGACCTTTCTGGGGATGGCTTGTATCTCACGTAGGTGGCCGAGCCGGGGGTGGAGAAGCTCCCAGAAGGCTGTCGGTAGGGAGGGACTCTGTCGGCCCCTGCTGGTGATACTGTGTAAGGGGTTTCTGGGAAGCTGACAGGCCTGGAAGGAGACAAGGGGAGGAAGGAGGCAGAGGGTGAGTGGGAGGGTACCCCTGCCCTGGGAGGATGGACAGACAGATGGACAGACGGACGGACGGACAGACAGACCTTTCCCCTGCCCAGCCACATCCCTTCTGCTGTCCACTGCTCAGGATGAAGGGGAAGATGCTGAGCACAGGGTGAGAGAAGCTGGGATGCCCCTGGGTCCCCTCTTCCCGGATCCACTGCGGCTGCCCCCAACCCACAGCTTTTGCAGGCTGCCCAAGACCAGTCTCGCCTCTGGCCCCCCGGGGACGAGATGTCCCTCTGCAAGTTGGATTCCTTCATTTTTTTGGACAATTTTCTTTTTATCTTTTAATATATAATATCTTCAAAAGAGTATCTATAAGTTATATTTGTCATCATCATAAAACGAACTCCCTTAAGGTACCACCCAACCCGGGACTAGAACGGCGGTGATAACATCTATCCGTGGGCTTCCCCACTTCCATTTCCCTGCCTCCTCCAGGAAGAAATCACTGTCCTAAATTTTGTGCTTATCAGTCCCTTCACCTTAAAAATAACAGAGTTTTTTTTTTTTTTTTTTTTTGAGACAGAGTCTCGCTCTGTCGCCCAGGCTGGAGTGCAGTGGCCAGATCTCAGCTCACTGCAAGCTCCGCTTCCCGGGTTTACGCCATTCTCCTGCCTCAGCCTCCCGAGTAGCTGGGACTACAGGCGCCCGCCACCTCACCCGGCTAGTTTTTTGTATTTTTTAGTAGAGACGGGGTTTCACCGTGTTAGCCAGGATGGTCTCGATCTCCTGACCTCGTGATCCGCCCATCTCGGCCTCCCAAAGTGCTGGTATTACAGGCTTGAGCCACCGTGCCCGGCTTTTTTTTTTTCCAGAGATGAGCCACTGCGCCCGGCTTTTTTTTTTTTTTTTCAGAGATGAGGTATTGCTCAGTCTGGGGTGCAGTGGTGCAATCACAGTTCACTGCAGCCTCCAACTCCTGGGCTCAAGCCATCCTCCCACCTCAGCCTCTTGGGTGGCTGGGACCACAGGTGTGCATCACGCCTGGCTAATTTTTAATAAATGTTTTTTATAGAGTCAGGGTTCCGCTATGTTGCCCAAGCTCTCTAACTCCTGGCCTCAAGTAATGCTCCTGCCTTGACCTCCCACAATGTTGGGATTACAGGCGTTAGCCACTGTGCCCAGCATAAAAAAGCAGAGCTTTAATCGTCTACTTAGTATAGTGAATTTCTAACTCAGATGCTGAGCTCCCCAGCACTGGGTCCCAAACAAGAGGCCCATGGTGAAAGCTGAAGAGAAGGAGAGAGGAAGGAACAAGGGAGACAGAAGGATAAGAAGGAAGGTCGAAAGCCTGAGGCGATGAAGAGGATGGAGGAAATAGTGCAGAGAGGGAGGGGCGGAGGACAGGTGTGGGCCGGTGGGGATTGGGAAGTGTTTGCCCCCCCCCCTCCCCCCGCAGGTGCTTACCTCTTGCTGTGCAGTGGCTGGGACTCCCGGAAGGGGACTATGGGGGTCTGCTTCGGGGGCCGGCTCAGGGACTGGGCGTGGCCAGGGGTGGTTGGAGTGGCCCACTTGGAGGCTGGTAGAGAGTTATGGGATGCGGGCCCGCTCCACTGCCAGGGAGCATTGCTGCGGTATGGGGGCCGGCCCCCAGGAGTGATGCTTTCCTGCTCCGTCTTGGGCTCCGAGGTATTCATGTCATAGGTCTCCGGCCAACCCCTGGGGAGAAAAACTGCGTTATTCAGAAAGACCCCAGCCCACCAACATGTGGGCCTGCTGTCTAGGCTGGGTTCTCCTGGCCCCATGCAAACCGGGATGGCCTATTTTTTTTTTTTTTTTTTGAGACAGAATCTTGCTCTGTCACCCAGGCTGGAGTACAGTGGCACGATCTTGGCTCACTGCAACCTCTGCCTCCTGGGTTCAAGCGGGTTCTGGCTAATTTTTGTATTTTTAGTAGAGAAAGAGTTTCACCATGTTGGCCAGGCTGGTCTTGAACTCCTGACCTCAGGTGATCCACCTCAGCCTCACAAAGTGCTGGGATTACAGGAGTGAGCCACTGCGCCTGGCTGGGGATGGTCTATTTTAAAATTCGAGTGAATACCCGTTAAAATGGTCTGAAACTTACCAGCTCAGAGTCTTGAACCAGGATGGGACCCAACACAGGGGCTCCGACTGCTTGGCCCTTTCCACCTCATCTCCTCTCCCCTCCTCCCACTCTCTCTGTTCCCTCCCCTCGCTTCTACCTGACCCAGACCACACGGCTGCCAGTGTCCTCCACAGACCTGCCTGGCCCCCCTTAGCGGTCCTCAGGGCCAGAAAGGCAGATGTCCTCAGAATCAAAGGACAGTAACTGCCTTGTTCCAAAGAATCTTAAAGGCAGCTGGAAGAGGAGCAGGTGACCTACTTTGCAGGGTGGTTTAAAAAAAAAAAAAAAA